TTATATTGTTATTGACATGGCTAGGTTTTATTCTCACATGTGGGTATTTGTTTTCCATTTGTCTTTCTGTTCTTGCCCCCTTTTCTTGCTTTTCTGCCTTATTCTAGATAGAAAAACAATTACTTACAATTCCATCTTATCTTCTCTTATGTAATCCTAGAGATCTTGAAAATTAAAGTATGCATCCTTAACTCAGCATAACGTACTTTAAATACATATTTCATAAACAACGAAAACAATATAATCGTTTTCCCCTTCCCCTTCAGAGCCATCATCTATTTTAATTTCACATAGGTTGTGAATTCCACAACTTTTGAAGTCAATAGTTTTAAAATAATATGCATGTGTACATATATATAACTTTATAAATTTATGAAACATATGTTTATCTATATATATATATACACACACACACATAATTTTCATGGCCCACATTTACTCTTTTTGGTGATCTTTATTCCCTTGTGCAGATCCAGTTTACTATCTGGTATTATTTCCCTTCAGCCTAAAGATTTGGGTTTTTTTTTTTTTTTTTGACATTTTCTGAAGTGCAGGTCTGCTGAAGACTATTTCTCTCAGTTTTTGGCTGAATAAAATGTTTTTCAAGTTCATCTTTTTGTCCCCCCACAAGAAAACAAACCACTTTTACTTTATTTGCTTTCCAATTATTTGCTTTTCTACTTAATTTGCTTTCTTAACTCCATGATGGGTACAGCATCACAAAGATTCTGTGTCCAAAGGATGTCCACTCTCACCACTGCTTTTCAATATAATACTGGAAGTCCTAGCCAGAGCAATAAAACAAGAGAAAGACATCCAAGGAATCCAAATAGAAAAAGGAGAAGTTAAACTATCACTATTTGTAGATGATATGATAAAATACATAGAGAACCCCGAAACTCCACAGAAAAACTAATTCAACTAATCAATCAGTTTAGTAAAGTGGCAGGATACAAAATCAACAGGCAAAAATCAGCCTTTCTATACACAAACAATAAATCTGAAGAAGAAATCAAAAAAAACATCCCTTTTATTATTGAAACAAAACAAAAAAACCAAATACTTGGGAATAAATCTAACAAAAGAGGACTTATAAAGGACTTATACAAAGAAAACTATAAAACAATGTTAAAAGAAACAAGAAGACACAAATAATGGAAAGACATCCCCTGTCATGGATTAGAAGAATTAACATTATTAAAATGGTCATCCTACCAAAAACAAACTTACAGATTCAATGCTATTCCAATAAAAATTTGAACGACATTCTTCAAAGAAATAGGACAATTATTGATGAATTTCATATGGAATCACCAAAAACCCCAAATACCCAAAGCTCTGCTGAAAAACAAAGGGAATGGAAGCATCACACTTCCAGACTTCAAATTATACTACAAAGCCATAATCATCAAAATTGCATGGTACTGGAACAAGAACAGGCACACAGACCAATGGAACCAAATAGAAAATCCAGAAAAAACCCACAGATCATTGTCAACTAATCTTTGACAAAGGAGCAAAGAATATGCACTGGAGCAAGAAAGTTTGTTCAATAAATGGTGCTGGGAAAACTGGGTCGCTACATGCAAAAGAATGAAGCTTGACTACCACCTCACACCATGCACAAAAACCAACTCAAAATGGATTAAAGAACTAGACATAAGACCTGAAACCATAAAATACATAGAAGGAAATACAGGCGAAACACTACATGACATGCACCTCAAAGACATCTTCACAGACACATCACCCAAAGCAGTGATAGTGAAGGCAAAGATAAACAGCTGGGACTACATCAAATTAAAGAGCTTCTGCACAGCAAAAGAGACAATAACAAAAACAAAGAGAAACCCCACCGACTGGGAGAACATTTTTGCACACAACACTAATGATAAAGGACTGATCACAAAAATCTACAAAGAGCTGGTGAGACTCAACAAAAACAAAGAAAATGATCCAGTCAAAAAACGGGCAGAAGAACTAAAAAGAAATTTCTCCGAAGAGGAAATGCAAATGGCCAACAGACATATGAAAAAATGTTCAACATCAATTGTAATCAGGGAAATGCAAATCAAAACTACAATGAGATACCATCTTACACCAGTGAGAATGGCACATATTAAAAAAACTAGCAACAAATGTCGGTGAGGTTGTGGAGAAAAAGGAACTCTCCTGCATTGCTGGTGGGAGTGCAAACTGGTCCAACCACTATGGAGAGCTGTGTGGAGATTCCTTGACCTACTAAACATAGAGCTTCCATATGATCCAGAAATTCCACTCCTAGGTATTTACCCAAATGACACAGAAACATTAATTCCAAAAGGCACCTGCACCCCTATGTTTATAGCAGCACTATTTACAATAGCTAAGCTATGGAAACAACCCAAATGCCCCAAAATAGATGACTGGATCAAGAAGATGTGGTACATATACACAATGGAATATGACTCAGCAATCAAAAAAGATAAACACATGCAGTTTGCAGCAACATGGATGGAGCTGGAAGGGATCATGCTCAGCGAAATAAGTCAGAAAAAAAAAAAGAAAAATACCAGATGGTCTCGCTCATAGCAAGAATTTAAAAAACTTAAATAAGAGACCAGGAAAAAGACTAATCAATACAAAGTAAAAATCAAAATTAACAAGCAACTATAAACCAGAGACACACTACAGGGCGAGGAAGGGATGTGGGGGGGGGGGGGGAGAAGAAGGCCTAGAGTCAAATTAAGGGTGGGGGTGCAATTGTATGGGGAAATATAACCATAATGAAAATCCATACATTGTGCAAAGATGAAAAATGATGTAAGAATTATATAAAATAAAATATTAAAAATAAGTAAATTATATGAATCTAAAAAAAAAAAGATTCTGTGTCCAATGGACTTAACAGAACGGCTACTTAGGAATTTGGCAGGAAACCACATCCCTGTTTCCATGGGCACAATTCACCTTTCCACAGATTTCTCTGGTTTTATTCAGTTTGTCACCAGGAATTAACACATTGTTTTTCGCTTTGTACACAAAAGCACATCTCTTGCATAGAGGGAATTTAGTTTCATCTCAACATAAACACCTTCAATTTTAAAAGCTGTGTGCCCCCTTTGGTTCCAGAGGCCCCCGCTTCTATTCAGCAAAAATGGCCATGGACCACAGCCTTCCGGTCATATTTTAGAGTCCTGTTCCCAGCAAGGCCTCCACAGGCTCCAAGATGGCCCACTTTCATTTTTGAAGAATATGTCACTGGTCACAGAATTACAAAATGGCGCTATCTTTCTTCTGGCATTTTATTCAATTTTCTTTCTCCATTATGTCTGATTAAACGAGTTGTCATTCTTAACATCACTCCCTCCTTATATGTGCATTTTCCTTCTTGCTTCTTTTAAAATTTTCTCTGTGTATCTGCTCTATTAGCAATATTACCATGATACAACTAGATTAATTTATGCTTCCTGAAAGTTGCTGAGCTAGTGTTAATTGATATGCATCATCAATATTCAAATTTTTTCATGCACTTTCTTCTGTCCTGTTCTCATTCTCTTCTATCCATACTTCAATTATATATGTGTTGAACCATTTTATATTGGCCCATATTTTGGAGACTCTTTTCTCCCATACTCATTTTCTCTTGTGAATCAATCTGAATAAGTTATATTAACTTGTTTGAAACTTCACTGATGACTTCTACTTACATCCACTCTGCTATTAGGCCCACCAGGTGAATTATATGTTTCTGATACTGTATTTTTCAGTTTTAGTATTTCTTTTTTTCTTAATAGTATCCATTTCTTTGTTGAAATTCCCTATTTCATCATGCATGCTGTTCATCTTTTCCATTCTACCTTTTACTGCATTTTTGCTCTTTCTTAGAATTTCCGTATCATTCTACCTACCAGTTCTTGAATGTTGTCGTCTTTCCCATTAGTGCCCTTAAAATAATAATGGCAGTTATTTGAAATTCCCTATCTGATCAAACCAACATCGCCATATCTGAATCTGTCTTTCCTATATAAGTAAAAAATAAGGACCTTCTCAGACAGACAAAATCTTTGGGAATTTGCTACTA